CGAAAGCTTATGCTCTAATAAATTTGTTAGTCTCTAAGGTGCCACAAGTACTCCTGTTCTTCTTTTTGCGGATACAGACTAACACGGCTGCTACAATAAAAAAAAGGTACAGTTGTCTCTCTTCTTTACTGGACCTAAACAGCATAGAAACACAAATAAGGTGCTTCGCACCTTCTTGTCTTTTTTGTTGTTTCTTTTTCTTTTTTGGTTGCTTTTTAGACTTGCTAGCAAGTAAGTCTGCTGCTGTGAAAAGTGATACTTGTATGTTAATATCACTTTTCACAACCTCCAGGCTTGCTACTAAGTCTGCTGTGAAAAGTGATATTAACAAACATACAAATAGCACTTTCACAGCAGACTTACTCAGCCCAGGGACAAATTAAGCCCTGGATAGGGAGATGGTAGGGAGGCAGTGGGGGGCCAGAGGTCATGGGGGAAATTAATAGGGGTCCAGGAGAGGCAGTAGGGGCCAGCTGTGATGGGGGGGTAAACCCTGGGACCCCAGGGCTGAAGCATGACCCCACTGCCTCTGGGAAAGTGGGGAACTCACAGGCTGCCTACTCCTCCAGTGTTTGTGTCTCTGCGGGAGGGGGTGGGGCGTAGGGCCCATTCCCAGCTGGGGGCCCCAGGGTAGGAGCCCCCCGCTTCCCTCACCCCCACTCTCCACGTAGGAGACTGGCCGCGAGAAAAGGTGGCCCCATGCAAGAGTGCCGCTCCAGTGGATGCTTATGGTTCCCAATAAGCAGTTCCCTGCGATTCATTCATCTTGAGACCTGAGGTGAGAGAGGTGCCAGTGCACGTTCTTCTCCGTACATTTAGTGAGGCCTCTGACAGCTAAGCCCGTACACCTGGTGCTTGCCTGTCTTCTGGCTTTCCTTCCTTTCTAGAGCTCAGCTGTGGTGCTTTGCCATGGTTTGCATGGCACACTGATGAGGAAGAAACCTGACTGGCTTTGGTTTGCCCCATTCCGTTCTGGAGACAGTCTGACCTGCAAAAAGAAGAACAGGAGTACTTGTGGCACCTTAGAGACTAACAAATTTATTAGAGCATAAGGTTTCGTGGACTACAGCCCACTTCTTCGGATGCATATAGAATGGAACATATATTGAGGAGATATATATACACACATACAGAGAGCATAAACAGGTGGGAGTTGTCTTACCAACTCTGAGAGGCCAATTAATTAAGAGAAAAAAAACTTTTGAAGTGATAATCAAGCTAGCCGAGTACAGACAGTTTGATAATAAGTGTGAGAATACTTACAAGGGGAGATAGATTCAATGTTTGTAATGGCTCAGCCATTCCCAGTCCTTATTCAAACCGGACCTGCAGTTATTCTAACTTCCAGCTTTTTGTAAGCAATAGTTACTGGTTACGGCAAATGAAGTCATGTGTGACATACACTAATATACAGCCTATAAAACTCGTTATCTCCCAGCTGTAGCCCCCCGCAGGTGGATGTTTCCCATGTTGTTGGGAGTTACAAATGTAAATGCTGTAACTTTTTCCTATGTCTGTGTACAATCTGTCAAAATACTTCATGAAGTCCAGCCATAGTTTACAGTCCCATAACAGTTAAAATATCTATATCTATATCTGTATAAGGAATTGTAGCTGGACAATAAGGAGCGTTAAACTGGTTGGATTGAGTGCCAGATGTGGCAGTCGACACTATCTGAGATTATAATCTGTCCCTGTGTGCATAAAATACATTTATCACACTTCATTTGGGTTTGGAAATTGAATCATTCAACACGTGAATTGATCAGGGTAGTGTAGGGTTTGTATTTTCGTTTTAAAGCTGTGTTCTGACTGAGTATCTGCATTGCTGTGTGTTGGAATAAATATTGGATAATTAGTAATGTCTTGCATCTTCTGTAGTAGCCATAAATGCTTTACACAGCTTTTAATAAATAGCGTCTGCTCACCAGCTCCCTAATGTTCTGAGACACTCTGAACTCGCCGAGGAATACGTTACAGTCTCTTCCCAAAATACCTGGAAGTCTAGAGTAGTGACTGGCTAATACTATAGTTAAGACTTCACTTGCCAAAAAAGCAGAGAGCAAAAGTTTGCTATTGGATTGTTCCTAGTCATGTGCTGGCTGTCAAGGGGATTAGCAAAATGTCCCCTCACATGCTTCTGTTCAGTGCTTAGCTGTATCTACACATTAATATACATTAGAGAAATACTGCTCTTCCCCAATGTTACATCCAATAACATTGTATATATGACTAGGTATTTGATTTAAGGGGCTATTGTCCGACTCCCTCCCCAACTTCAGTTGTATTTTTCCCTTTTCAGAGTAGGTTAAATCATAGAAGCATAGAAATGTAGGACAAGCAGGAAGGGCCTTCAAAGTCATTAAATCCAGCCCCCTGTGCTGAGCAAGACCAAGTAAACCTGACAGGTGTCTGTCCAACCTGTTCTTAAAACCTTCAGTGATGGGGATTCCACAACCTCCCCAGGAAACTATTCCAGAGCTTAACTCCCCTGAGAGTTAGAAAGTTTTCCCTACTGTCTAACCTAAATCTCCCTGCCTGCAGGTGAAGCTCATCACTTCTTGTCCTACCTGCAGTGGACATGGAGAACAGTGGGTCACTGTCCTCTTTATAACAGCCCTTAGCATATTTGAAGACTGTGATCAGGTCCCCCCTCAGTTTTCTTTTCTAAAGACCAGTCTTTACCACAACAAATTATTAGCGGCTTTATTCCAAGGTGTTTTATCTGCTCTGATAGACCTTCAGAGCCACAGTTGTCCACTTTGAAGATCTTAAGCATCAATATCTTTTATCCAGGGTAGGTTAGATGTGAATGGAAGTGATTTCTACTCGGCTGTAATTAATTTATTAATGGCAATAAAAGTACGAGATGGAAAAGTGCTAGGTCTTGCCGAACACCTTTAGGATAAATACAATGTTAGGCTTGCAGGGCAGATCTTTATTATGGTTTTATAACTGAGGTTTTTAGTTTTCCAGGCGACTCTTGCTTGCAATGCTGCTTTAATAAAATATAGAGCCCTCAAAATGCTAAAGCCGGGAGGGACAACCAGTTTATGCCACGAAAGTCAGACTGCAGGAAGTGACTCTGTATTAAACCTCTTCAGGCTCTGATTTCCAGCTGTGGTATGCACGTGTGTTTCTTTAACACAAAATCCTTCTAAGGGAAGGTTACAAAATGTGTATTTACCTAATGCACATGACCTGTTCAGCTGCAATTATCTCCTAATCTGGTCTTTCTGAGTTTCTCCGGGTCTCTCAGGTAAATACGGCTTTAGCTGTTCTTCAAGGCATATTACCTCATTAAGTGTGTATTTTGGCACGTGCATTATTTACCTGATAGACTAACAGATACAAAGGAGCAGTTGCTGTCTGTGCAAATAACCACGGTGTTGTTCGTGAATGATCGTCCTCTGGTTTCTTTGAGGCAGTTTTTATTTTGTCGTGTAAATCTGGCTACTCTTCATATTCACCAAGGGGCGCTTCCTGCCCTCCGTGCAGGTGCTGGAGGCATTGTGTGCACACCCAGGGGAGTCTGCGCTTAGTTCCGCTGCACTAAGAAACTAAACAAAAGCAAGACATGTATCCCTGCTTGCATGGAAGGAAGGAAGTCTGTACTGCTCCTAGCTCCCAGCGTCTAGACACCTGCTGTCCTGTGTCTTCTATCCATTCTAGCTTGTGAGCTCCTTGGAAGCATGGAGTGTGCCGCCCTGTATGTGCTGTGCACACTGAGAACTGTATGCTCAGTACAGTGGTGGTACAGGCAGTGACACCAGTAGCTGTCCCACCACTGTCTTGGCCCTGTCTGGAAGGACCAGCTGCCTGTAGGGGCTGAGCTGAGTTCAGTCTCTGTGCTTGGTCACTGACCTAGGGGCTAGAGGTGGTGGGTTTTTGAGCAATTGAGAGCCAGCTCCTATGAACTGGATTTCAAATAAATCACTGAAAGGCCAGGTAGCCAATACTGACCTGGGCTGGCTTTGAACTGGCATCCTAGAGTTGAAAGACTTACCCGTCCTTGACCCATGCATTCCTGGAGAACAGCATTTTTTTAAAAAAGAAATCATTTGAAACTTCTTCCTCCCTCCTCCCCCATCAAAAAACCCAGATGCCAGAGGGGCACATTATGGATGAGTGATCTGTAAAACTACCACAAAGTTTTTAAGTCATAAGCGTATAAATAAAAAATAAAAGAGTGGGTGGGATTTTTATAGGGGAGAGGGAGGAATGAATTAAACTTAATCAGTTTGGATTTTGTTGGAAGGCAAATTCACCCCTTGAATGTCAACATTTTAGATCAGTTCCCCCACCCACTCTGCCCTCCCCCAGCCTGAAAAAAAACCTGGTGAGCAAGAGATTGTGGGCACCTGAGCCCTGTTGAGAGGAACCAGGCGGAATGGCCTGTGGAAGCATGTTATCAAGAGGCTGACATGGGGGAGAGAGGGGAGAAAAGCTGACTAACGCATGGGGAGTGGAAGGGTCTGGCTTGGCTCTAGCTGGGGGGGGGTTCGGGGCCAAGCAGATGGCATCTGCACTTGTGTCATTGTGCCTGACTCCTATTATGTGCAACTTCTGTTACCAGTGTACATGTATCAAGAGACTAAGGGTCTTTCCACAGACTTCAGTGAGCTTCGCATCAGACCCCTGAATCCCTACGCAATCTATATAGTGTTCTGTAGCATGTGGACGCCTGATCTGGCCCCTGAAGCAGTGACTGTGGTGTCTCTGCCTCTTAATGCAGAGCTATTCACAAAGGTTAATTTCTAGGTTGCTAGTGGGTCTAGACGCTGTCTAGTGTATTTGCAATAGGTCACGGTATTACCTGGGGTTTTTGGTGGAACCTTTCGTCAAAAGGCCGCAAGAGCGTCTGTTACAGAATGGCTAGGTTGAGGAGATGGCAATAGAAGTGAGATGTGTGCACATTAGTAACACAAGCCCCTCTCTCTTTCTAAGTTTCAGATGCCTCTGGATGTTGAATGGTAGCACTCTTCCATACTGGAGCAGCAAAGATTCCTCCAAGCTTACTTCCAAGGGTGAGACAAGCTCTGTGCTCCCACCGCCTACTTTGCTTTCTCCAGAGGTGCGGCTCCACCGTAAACAGGAAACTGGCGTCCCACGGCTTTGGCGCGTCCATGGCAGCAATGTCATCCTTCCCTCCACAGAGATATCACTACTTTTTAGTGTTGGATTTTGAGGCCACTTGTGACAAACCACAAATTCATCCTCAGGTAAATATCCAGCCCCATTTATTCTTCCTTTGCAAACTGCTGCCTCCACCCTGTGAAGTGGGATGCAGTGTCTGTCCATTCACATCCCCACCAACAGCTCTGAGGTTTACCCCATGCCCTCCCAGTTCTATGCACACTTCCTCAGCAGCTGTTATCAGCCCAACTGGTTTCTGATGAGCCATTCCTACCCCTTAAAATGGCCGTCAGCAGCACTGCCAACCTATCAGTCCAGAGGGAGTGAAACCAGAGACCTTGGCCTCCGTCAAGACAGCGTTGAAAAGACATTTGTTGTCTGAGAAACTTTACCTGTCTTAGGCCTTAACTCATTATCTGGTAACTGCCTTCATGGTTAAACTAAGAAAAAACAGGAGGACTTGAGGTATCA